GCATTTTAAAAGAAAAACTCAAGATAGCTTTTTGGCCTTCGGCAGCTGTGACGGAAGCCTTGCAGCTGTGGCTTTACTGTCACTCTGGGAAGGCTAGATGTCAGCAGCCAGATCAAGTCAATGGCACATTAACAACTGATAATGATAGTTAACTCACTTGGTTAACTATGTGAGCATATGCTTCACCCCTGAGCATTTCAACTTCCAGCTCCCAGGCTTGTCTCAAGCCACCTTTGACTCTCGGCTGTTTTTCACTGTTAATACAGAAACCTGGAGCACATTAAGTGGAGGGGACAGTTTACAATAAAAGCTCATGAATTGATTCCGTGACCCAGCAGAGGCTATTAAAAATGATTGAATGAATATGGAAATGAGTAATCGTACAGCTGGACTCGGGGCTGAACGCGGCCAACTCCATTCAGTGCAAACCACAAATAAACCAAGGCGCACGCAAAGCTGCCGGAGTCTCAAGGTCATGGTGTGAGCTGCAGGAAATTGCCCTAGGATTTCTATCACGTTTACCTGTCCTCCTTGTGCTGTGGGTTCTCCTCAGCACCTGTGTATTTAGACTCATCCTTTCTCTCCAAAGGCTGCATGACCAGGAACCTCTTATCCCATAGCTTCCACGCTAGGGGAAGTGGGGGGGCCATCGGGGTAGCCCCCATCCCTGCCTCCCGACCCCTTGCTGTTCCACACACGCACGCTTGGCTAGTCCAGCCCACATTCACAAGGATCAGAAAATAATCCCGGACTGCCTCAGTTTCCAGCCACCAGTGCTGAATCCCAGGAAGCCAGATTCCTTGCTGGCTGGTCAGAGACCTGAGGAAGCAGGTGGTAGAAACCTTCCAACAGGTTTTCCGTATGCGCACGGTAGCTGAGGCTGACAGATATCTGTAATTGAAGGCAAACCTGGGCCAACGAGCAGAGTTAAAACTGAACTGGTTCCCCGCTGCATGTAAGGGTAAGGACACGGGGCTTTATGCTCTCCTTACAGCCTCGCTTTCTCTGTGGCCAGCTGAGAAGGAGATGGAGGAAGGAGGTTGTCCTAGGAAACATGTCACAGAGAGGTATAGTATAATACATTTATTTAAAAGACACACACCAGAATCCCACTTACATTAAGTATAGAGACTAAAGGTTCGTTCTTATTTCCCAAGGGCCCTGGAGTCGTGTCCTCTCTCCACGCCAGAGTGCCAGCACACCTGGCATTAAGGGGGTGGAAGGAGTGGGCTGAAGACCTTAGTGGTCTAGAAGAAGGGGCAGGAAGGACGAGCCACGAGTATGCCATGCGTTGAGTGGGCTTCCACCTCCAACACAAGCCCAGAGGGCAGAAGCTACAGTGCTGCCATGGCTGCCTTGTTAATACAAGGCTGCTAGGTGCAGTTTTGCCACGCTGCCCTGCTTCGCCAGTCTCCGGGGCCGCTCCTGTCCTTAGGTCTGTGTGCCATCATCAGTCAAAGATGAAGGCTCATTACTGTGAGGGCAGCGGCAATCTCCATGCAGGTCGTGGGGAGGATTGATGAGTTCTGTCTCCTGGAGCAATAACTGGTTCTGCCTTTGTCCAAGCCTGGTCTTCGCTTCAGATGCTGCAAAGGGCACTGGACCAGTATTTGCCCCTGAGGAGGAACACTCAGTGGTGTTGGGTGAGCCCACAGCAGAAACCTGCCCCCAAAGGAGCCACCCGTGACCCCCTCACCCGAAGCAGCTTTCTTCCCCTGCAGCCTTCTCCCAACGGGCAACTCTCTACCCCCCTTCCCATCCATCACTCCTGGCTTTCAGGCCACTGTCAGAAACCTCCTGCAAAGAGACAATGGCAGCCCAGGGTCCCCATTCACCCCTGGAGAAAAGGGCCTGTGCATGCGGAGTGATAAATGGTTTGTCCCCAGCTGGAGACAGAGGGCTGGATGCTCCCGATCAGCTGCAGGAGGGCAGCCCTTTGTCTTGCTCTGGAGAGATGGAGCAGAGGTCGGCCCCCAGTCTTCGGCTTCCCGGCATCTCTCAGTTTGAGGTCTTCCGTGGTAATGCAAGAGTCCAGGCTTCCCGCATAGCCCCCTTCTTGCCCGTAGCTCAGAGCATCCCTTGCGGTTGGCGTTTGGTCTCCAGCTGTGCCCCGGAGGATACCAGCGCAGGGGTCCTCCCGCCTGCTGTCACGCCTCTGGCGTTATTTACAGACATATCTCTCCACCTTCCGCCGACACTTCTTGCACACCACGTAGCAGCACCAGTGATACTTGCAGTGGCATCTCTCCACCACCTCCTCCGTGTAGGTGTTGTAGCCGCGGCCACAGCACATCAGGTTGCAACTGTCGCTGCCCACGGAGGTCTTGTTGCACTGCCTGTCAAGAGGAGGATGCACAGGCGGGAGCTGAGGGAGCGTACCTGCCCAACCGTGGTGGTGGTGCTGACCACAGCTATCTGCCCCAGCCTCCTCCCAGAGCTTACGTGCCCATAGCAGGAGGCAGCGAGGTGCAGGGGTCTGCTTGCAAACTGGGGTTGATGTCAGCTCGTGTTACTACGGCAGTGTTTGAGCAGCTGTGGCTGAGGCTGGGCACACTCACTCTGTATCACACTGGGGGCAGGAACTTCCCACGGAGAAGGAAGGGTGCATGGCTACGACCAGGAACTTCTGCTACTGCTAAATCTAACAGGGATTGCAAGTCACAGCCCTGAGGCAGTCCTGGCTTGGCCTTCAGACGAGGCTTCCCCATCCCTCTAAAAACTCCCCCCCCACCCCCTGCAATTGCTCCAGAAAGGAGATATCTGGAAAGCACCGCAGACTCCAAGGAGTGCTCAACCGTTCTGGTTAGCGGAAGCACCCAAGGGCTTGCAGGGAGAGCTGATATTTTCCTTTCTGACTCCTCAGTGGATGAATCCTGTCCTGGAGAGTGGAGCTGACGGACTCTCAGTGAGGGCTCTCCCTTGCCTTTATACCTGCATAGCTCTGGAAAAATAATATCTACCTTCCTGCCCACCTTGGGACTTAAAGATGCAAAAATTTCACGGCAGTCCCTGTGGTGTCCCCATCTAACGGGGGACCGCACATCCACACCAGCTTCCCAGAGCATGCTCTCAAGCCCAATGGCACAGACACTCGTGAAATAGGAGGCTGAGTTACAGCGTATCTGCAGCAGTTTCTTACCTATCCTGTGTCCCCAGAGACCCCAGGTGGAGATTCGGCGTGCAGTAGTCGGGAGAGTTGATGAGATAAACCAGATCCGTCTCTTTCACTGGTCTGACGTCCATTTCTTTGGGTATCAGCTGCTTCCTGGGCCCTATGAGCCGGTGGGTCACCTTGATGGCTGCCAGGTACTTGGACTTCAGGTCAGAGGCGATTTCATCCAGGTTTGGCAGTCCCTTCCAACAGGTCTTCACTGAACAGGAGCCTGAAACACCGTGGCATTTACACTTGGTATCCAGGGAGTCACTCAGCACCTGCAGAGGATAGGAAAACAGATGAATTTGCTTCTGCTTTCTCCTGGTACCCACCCTACCGATTGATTTGCAAGAGCATCCATGGGAAGTTTCAAGAGATGAAAGAGCTCAGCTGCTTACTGCCACCTTTAAATGAATATAATGGGGCAATCAAGGACTCAGCCCTGCTTCATTCCCCTTGTGATAAGAACCTAACCCTTGGGGAACTCCCTGCTGGAGCTTGCGGTGGGGCTGGTGGCTTCCCTAGCCAACACGGGTGCAGGATGGCCACGTCCTCACCCGGGGAACACGGGTGCATGAAAGCACAAAACCCCGCAGTTCTGGGCAGGGCTAGGGAGCCCAGCTGGAGCGGGGCAGGACGGGCCTCTGCTCCCATGAGAGCGGCGGAAAGAAGTACTGGAAGTACTGGCGTGAAGTGGCAAATATCTTGCC